TTTTAGAAGCAAAATACGGAATACGAGTTAGGGATGTGACTGGATTTCAAACGTGGGCTCTTCCAATCCAAAAAAAAAATCCCAAGAGAGAGGTAAAAAGTAAAAAAAGAGGAAAGGGCGGCCGCGATCGATTTACCTAAAAGCTTTGGTTAAAAAAAAAAAAAAAAAAAAAAAGACCTCAGTCGGTAGAGCGCTTGACTGTAGAGCAGGAGGTCCCGGGTTCGATTCCCAGGGCCGGACCAATACTCACTGCTTTTGCCCTGCAAACGGCGGGTCAATTTAGGCTTCTGGGAAACTGCCCACCTACTCCTCCCCTAATCCAACATTTTGCCCTATGTGAGAAGTAAGTGTTAATGTTGACTTGGGGGGTAGGTGGGCAGTTTCCCAGAAACCTCAATTGATCCCAAACGGCCAGACCTTCTCGTGGCTCGGATGACCACGTAAAATGGCGGACCTGTCTCCAGTTGGAGACTTAAAAATAGTGTCCTCAATTAGTACTTCCGTGCTAAATACATTGACACTCAAGTAAAGTATATTTTTTAGCATCGCTCCGAAGCTTTCATCTGAGTGAATGGTTACACTATAAGATTTCATTGATCAAGACTCAAACGTTACAACTACCTTACAAAGCGTGGTAAACAGTATCATAAACGCGTGGGTGTGGGTTGGGCGTGTAGATGTGTGTATTCTTGCTAAGTAGGCACTTGTGTTCAATTCTTGTGTTCACTGTTAAGGTGCGATTCTCAAAACGACGATTTTTAGCGCAACGCTGTGTTGCGCTAAAAATCGTCTGCGCGAATCGTCACCTTTATCTGTATAGTTGCCTGTAATTTTTGCATAATGATGATGATGATGATGATGATAATAATAAATAGTCCTTAATAGGCTATAGGATTTCTTTCAGATTCAAAAGCAGTTTAGTTGCAAAGGAAAGACGCGTAACTTACGAACACTTACCGTTTCTAGCTGAAGTTTTCTCTTCTCAAGGTTAAGCACATTATCTGCTTTATTACTGAGAGTCTCTCTGAGTCGTTTGATCTCAAGCTTTAGAATGTTCTCATCCACCATCAGGTTCTACAAAAGACGAATGAAGACGAATTAAAGGACTCGCACAGATGATTCATCTATCGGGAGCAATTAATAGCGGAGCTTCCGAGCGCGCGAAGCGCGTGCAGCGCAGCCTTCATTGCTATAGAGACTGGAAATCCATCGTCCGCGTACACCACCCGCCAGACGCCCGTACAGACTCGGGGAGTACGGGAATATTTTTGTCGTTAATGTCTGTGTGTTCAGGGGATTTTTCTTTCTCAAATCACCAAACCCCCTCTTAAATTAAGTCGTAGGTTTCTTAAGTTCAGTATAAATTTGCGGATTTTTTTGTCGTGGCTTTAGGTTTATTACGTTAAAGTTCATTGCTTCTATTACAAATATATCAACGGACGCTTTGCTTGCCTGACTAAATCTATACATTTACGCGTAGACTTTAAGAATTTACTTTTCCCCATAAAAAATTGCGTATCTCTTTTTAGCATTCATGGCTGTTCCCGTCTTTGAAAACAAAAAGAATTACCACAACAGTGTAACGGAACAACAACAAGAATAACCTGAGATCAGGCCCAATTTGAGTGGTTCTCATACATTCTCTCTAACTGCTACCACTACCATGTCCGCCGGAATGTTATTTACAAAGCGAAACGAAAATAGAGCCTGATTTCAGGTTACAACAACATATATAACAAAGAGAAAAACAAAACAAAACAAGATCGTCCGCTTTCGCACCGGAATGTGGAATCTCCGTTTCAAGATTGACCTGGTTGAAGCCCTATGATCACTGCGCTTCCAGGTGATTCGTGGAGGTATCTTTTGCAGCCGATAAACAGCTATACGAGTTGTTTACGGACCTATACGCTTTGTTACAGACTTGCGTACTTACGCTATGCCTCTAATAGCCACTAAAATTAGTGAGGATTTACGAAATAGAAACAAACCTGTTTTAAGGCAACAACTTTCTTCCTTTCTCTCTCTGAACTGTCATTGTGAAGATTCAGCTCCTCTGCAATAAAAGGGAAAGAACGTTTAGCTACACCTCTAGTGATTGATTAGAGGCACCACACGTGTAGAAAAAGAATCAAAGAAATAAGACCTTATTTTCCAAGGTAGACGAAATTTGCAATATATTTATCTGACTGAAAAGAAAAATTAGCAAAACGACAATTTTGAAAAAAGGTCAAACCGCACAAGCAGAAATCCTAGTCTCAGATCATCACTTCACAACACTTTTAAAAGTTGGGTTGCCAGTTCAGAGAGGTACTTACCAATTTTGCTTGTGAGGTTCTTCATGTCATCCTTTCCTTTATTTAAATCTCTGTTTGCACGACGAAGATCATCCTTGGAAACAAAAGCATGGTAAATTAGAAAAATTCAGGCACAGAAAAGACAACCTTGAAACGCTTTTTGCACCTTCGTGTCAGTTAAAATACACCTTACAGGAGCGGATCTAGGGGGAGGGTGCAGGGGATGCGCCCCCCCCCCCCCTGAGATGACGGGCGGTTTTCTAATACAACTGGTATGCTGCAAAAAAAAAACTATGTGGTTTATTGGTTTTTAAGTACAGCAAGAGACGAGTGCACCCCCTCCTAAAAAAAATCCTGGATCCGCCCCTGCCTTTAAGGCCATAGAAATTTAGATTTAACAACAAACTTACATTTAAGTTCTTCATTTGAGCACTGAGTAACGTATGAGTTGAGTTATGTTCCTCCATTTGCGACATCAGCTCCTGCAAAAATCAAACGGAACCAACTTCAATCGCTTTGGCAACTATAATGAAACAAGTATTGCTGTGTATTTTTCAGTGCTGTGTATGTAGTTTGGGGGCTAATGTGTGGATCAGAAAATGTACTTTTATAATTTCAACGTTAAGAAAAATTCGCGTAAAAACCACCGATTCAGGTTTACCATTAGCTGAAGAATAAATACTAGACGTCTTTCCGTTGTAGTTCGGGGGCCAATGTGTTGATCATAAAGTGTGCTTTCATATTTTTAGCGTTGTTGCACCATCTTAGTTGGTTTTAAGCTTTACCTTGATCCTGGCTTCAAGCTGCAGCTTCTCTTCATTGCTTCGCTCTCCCTGCATACGGCTTATNGGGCCAATGTGTTGATCATTAAGTGTGCTTTCATATTTTTAGTGTTGTTGCACCATCTTAGTTGGTTTTAAGCTTTACCTTGATCCTGGCTTCAAGCTGCAGCTTCTCTTCATTGCTTCGCTCTCCCTGCATACGGCTTATTCTACGCTCCAACTGCTGCAGCTGAAAATCCTAAGACCATCCAAAAATAATTGTTGATTATTGTACAGTGCTTAATCCTTGACCAAAAACTGACCAAAAATATTGCTTAAAAGAGCAAATCAAAAACGGGACTACCGGTATACAAAAGAGTAGAATTTCTGTAAGGTTTCGTTTTTGCTTGGAATCCTCAATCGAAGTCTGGATTCGTGAGGCCACCTCAGTCTTAATCATATCTCAAGTACTGTCTCAAAACAATAGGCCACTGTCAAAAGACAATACCTGGGGGATAACTTAAAAGTCCTTGTAAACTTGACCCGGCACAGAATACTTGCAGCTTGGTAGAAATTACTGTGATGGTGATTCTCAAGCCTGGTAATTACACAAGAAAGATGTTTTTTTTTTTCCAGCCAAAGACACAGGCGGCTAGGAAGAAAAAATCCGAGTACTCTCGAGTAATTTGGCACTTGCAACTTTGTCACTCACGGAAAATCAACTTGTAGGACAGTTTAGCATAATCACCTTTAGAGATTTTGCATTTCATTACTTACTTTGATCATAACAACCTTTCCTATCAATAATTCTAACTAAGTTTAAGTTGTTGAGGTTTCATTATGTGCGGGGTGTTTGTTTTTTTTTTTTCAAAAACAAACCTGCATGTAAATGATCTCTTGCTGTTTAAGTGATTCCTGGTCGAGTTTGTGAAGTTTGCTGCTTAAATTCCTACTAGCTGCACGAGCTCCCTGGTAACACCCACAAAAAAGAAAAACAAAAGTATTAAACATTATAGAAAGTGATGAGACAAGATCAGATTAGATAATAGTTGATTTAGCCTGCACAACTAGCGTTTCCGCATGAGTTCGTCGGAAAGGTGGGACAAGAGCAAAAAAAAAAGGAGTGAAGGGGGAGGGCAAGGGGAGGGCAAGGCTTCTCCTCCCTTCCCCCTTTTTCCATTTCTTTTTTGACTCTTCCTCCAACTTTTGTGCGATACGGTAACTTAGTTGGAAACATTTGCTACAGGCTACAGTTGATTTAATCTCATCATTGGAAGAAAAAATTATATTACAGAGTTGTTTTTTTATCTCCTGGTATTCATTTTTGCTTTATAGCAAAGAAAAATTGGCTTGCAAAGGAGTTGTAAAATAGTTAGTTTAGTTTTTTATGACACTAATGATACTAATTATTACCTAGGATGTGATGCCACTTGCTTACAAATGGTGAACCACAAAGGAAAATAAAACCCTTCTGATTTAACCTACCTGAATTTCTGCAGCAGTATTGGACTCCAAAACTTTGCATTGGTGAAGTTCCTCTGTTTTTCTGAACTAGAGAAGTGAAAAAAAGGAACCAGTAATTTTATTACAGGAAGATTTTTAGGATTAAATACAAATAATCCGGATCAATACCAGCATTTTCCTCTAAATGAGAGGTAAAGGTTAATATACTACTAGAAGAAGAGTAGATGGGCTGCTCCCAGGGGAGGGGGCTGGGGGGGTTACTCCTGGGAATTCTTGGTTGGGTTGTGCCGCCAAGTTCGCCAAATCCTGACCCTATTTCAGACCAAAAAATGTTTTCACACCTGTTTTCAGACCTGGCCTCTAGGAAATTATGTCATCATTACTTTGATAAGAACGCCAACAAAAAGGATATCTTAAAATTCACTTCAAATTCGGATATTTCCCTTTCTTTCTTATTCATTTGGAATTAAAACTATAAATAGGTTCATACACTTCAAAACCATATCCGATTCCACACCAAAGTGGGCAAAGTCTTTACCCGTTTTCAGACCAAAGCGGCACAAAAGCCATACCCTTTCGGGCGGTACATACCCATATGGCTTACACGAGGTTTTTTATACTGATGCAAAAGATCAAAGCACTTTCCTTTAGATGATCATTTTCCTATTTCTCATAACATTTTCTCTTGGTTATGTTTTCAATGTTTTTAAGAAAATTGGTGTTGATGGCTCTGGGGACTGAAAGAGTTAACACTAAACCTGTGTTTCCCGCAGTCTGCTCAGCTGTTTCTCCACATCGTAAATTCTAGCCTCTTCTTCCTTTAGTAACATGTCCATCATCTGCGCTTTTTCTTCAGCAGTAAGAGTTTCATCCGTCACAATTTTCAGCTGTTGATGCAGATCATCTCGTTCTTTTTGAACTCTCTCAAGCCTAATAAAATTTATTATCATTTAATGATAACACCAACATGAAATTAAATATAATTAAACTGGGTGCAAAGAAAGACGAGGGAATTTTATTAAAAAGATGCAACATAATATTATTTTTAACCTAGGTTTTACTCCTAGAGTGAATAACTGACATTTTTTTATGATGGTTGTAACTTTTGAGTCTGTGGATGAAATCCCATGGTGTGAACATTCAAATGAAACCTCTTCAGCTGTGCTTTCACATAGTGTGTACTATTTATTTAGTGTAAACTTTTGAGTCTGTGCATGAAATCCTACAGTGTGACCATTCACATGAAATGTCTATAGCAGTACTTTCACATGATATTTAGTATGTAGTGCTAACTTTTGAGTCTGTGGATGAAACCCTATCGTGTCACCATTCAAATGAAACATCTTAAGCCATGCTTTCACGTGGCCCAATTTGGTTTTCAGCATTTTATAAACTAAAAGTTCAAAATTTTGTTGAGTTCTTATTTTTATGAATAACAAAGCTGTAGCTTACTTTTCTGTCCTGTTGGCAACCTCCTTCTTCAGTAAATTGTATTTTTGTCGGGTACTATCTAAATCTTTTGCAGTTCTGTCCACAGTGTATTTCAGGGTATCAAGCTGAAAAGGGAAATTAAAAAAATATAAAAGAAAATTTTACCATGAAATTTGCCTTTCATCTCTGAAGCAACAAAAAATTAGTGTTTGATTGCTTTAAAAAATTGTCTTTCACCCAAACATTTTGCTGTCCTCTTCTTTCTGCTGTCCTGTTGCTTTTAACTCCCTAATATTTCCTCTAGGCACAACCTTGAATGTCACCTTTTGAGACAAAACTTACACTGATTCTGTTTGTGCATTCTCAGGCTGACATAGAAAAGATGAATTTGTGACTCAAAAATTAATTTATGTTTGACTTCCACAACATTTATCATGTACGAAAGGTAACTTAGCCAACAAATCATAGAACATCCTTGTAAATCTTCTTAATAGCTAAATTTACCTCATCTTGGAACTGAATGCGGATCTGTTCAGAGTCCTGGTACTCAAGTCGTAGTTTGGCAGCCTGCCTCTCAGCCATACCAACTTTCTTTTCTTTTTCTTGATTGTTGGCGAGCTCACTCTCCAAAAATTTCTAACATTTCAAGAAAATGATAATACAAAATACAATTTTAGAAAAGTTTAAATACTTAAAAATATATAAAATAAGTCAGTCAAGGGCTCTGAATTCCCATACTAATCATTGTATATAGCCTCTCATCTCCATGTTTCTGGTGATACAGCAAAACAAGGAGGATGACTATTTACACTCAGAAAACAAATTGTAATTCACCTGTTTTTCTTGAACTTGTTCCTCTCTGTCTCTCACTTCAAGTTTTACTTCAGCAAGTTTCTAAAACAGTAAAAATCATGTACTCTTTATGTAATCATTATGGTTGAATTATAATAGAGTCCTCTTAAGTCAAGATTTCTCTGTGAAATGTTAGCAAATGACTTTTGTTACTTTTAGGGGACTGTCGCTTTATTGAGGAAAAAACTTACTGAATGCACAAGCAAAATAACAAGTTTATGTGACAATATGATGAATGCATATGCCAAATTAATGTAGACTGTAGAATGAGAAAAAAACATAAATCTTATTCTATTTTAGTTATTTCAGACTGTATTATTCTTGCTTGAATCTACAGTAAATTGCCCAAAACTAAAAAGTTACAAAGAAATGTCCTGACAGGGAAATTCATGGTTCGTGGCTAAAAGATGCTTTCAGAAATGACCAGCATTTACTTTTTATTTGTTCTTTGTTGTCGAACATACAACATCTTTTTCATCATTTTAAACTCATCATTTTGCTTGCACACTTACTTGTTTTCGTCGTCAGAGAGATGGTCCCCTAAAGGTAATTAAAGCCATTTAAAAACATAAAAAATATCAATTACAATCTTCTGGCTCAACTTTGCATGGTCCCACTAACAGACAGGAAGAATTGCCCACAAGAGTCAAGGTCTGGAACAGTTTATAGCTCAAATCATCCTGGGTCAGTGCCACATTATAAACATACCACAGCCAGTTGGTCCATTTCTCTGTCTCTCTTTTGCATCTGTTCAATAGTATTCTCCCACTGCCGTAACAATTCTTGTCGCTCACTGTGTGCTTTGCGGAACTCCTCAGCTGTTTTGTCTAACTCAATCTAAAAACGCGAACATTAAAAACTGTTGAGTACAAGAAAAAACCATCTTTGAATATCGACCTATACATTGGGAGGAAGGGAAGATACAGGGTGTAAAATCTCCTCTATCCCTTACTCTTTGGGTTCCCATCCTTCTATAGTATTGAACTGCCATCAACTCTCTCCAAACAAAACCTCTGCAAAGTATAGATCACAGGACACCTCTACTACACAGACCCTTTGGCCCTTGGTCATTATGGAAGGTGCTCTAAAAGGCATAAACACTTTTTTAGATATTGTCTGCATTGTAGAGGAAGTTGACTATACATCTTGGGTGTTGGTGAGTTTATGAATACAAACTATAACTTAGGGTCTTCCAGTAACTATAATTTTTAAGAATAAAGTTGCTGTGAGCCTCAACCTCTACCCTAATGAATGATAACCTTCATTCGTCTTGCTCCCAGCAGGGTCAACACATACATGTAAAGAAATTCCTCTCTTTGATAGAAAAAGCACAAACAGCATCAACTAAGTTATTCAGTGATTTTGCTTCCTCTGCGTCCTGTGTTTCTGACGCATAAAAATCCCCAAAGATGCAAAATAATTCATGGTATGTGTCACGTAGGACGCAAAGAATGATTGATTGATTTGAAGATTTCTTAGTGGAATATCCTGTTCGGGTGATTTCTGTGGCTGTTGTTTAAAGATGCATATTTATTTTTATAGCCTTTTTTGTGCTTTAAATATATAGAAGGACTATATTTTAATAATTTCAGTAAACTGTAATTAAGAGTTTTGGTCTTTGTCTCCAGCTAGATTAACTGTCTGGTTACATAAAGGCCCATGCATGCATGACTCCTTGTGTTTTTGAACTGAGACTCATGATTTTTCACAAGATGAGTCCCAGGACTCCCCATAACTACATTAGAAACTTTTCTAACCAACACTTGCAAGTGAACAGCTCTACAAACGGCTGCCTTCACAAATCCCTGTTTTTCTCAACCCCTATACAAACTCTGTATTTTTACATTCCTGTAAGCGGTTAGTTTTGAACACCTTTTTCTCGTCACGAGGGTGTCCACTCACGAGAGCTTCCACAACTGTATTTGTGACAAAATCACTGGTTATTAGGCAAAAGTTTAGTCTACTCTATTTATGACTCCGTACCTGAGCTGTCATGGTAAGAGTAAGCTCATGTTCCAGTTCTCTCCTCTTCTTAGCAGCATCATCTGTCATTCTTTCCATTCTTAGGGTTAGTTCCTATAGTTAACAAAAGATAAATAAGGCCCAATTCAAACATAGAACTTTCCATTTAGCCATGCTCAAATTAATATATCTGTTTGGGTCCTGACCCAAATGAAACATTCAACAGTTGATTCAGACATTAAAGTTATATAAGCAGTCAGACTCAGTTCATAGTGGTAGTGTACATGCAAAATGAATAATAGTAATTTCATCATTTCGTTTAGAAATTCAGTTGTTCCACAGCAAAAATTCCAATGTAGGCCACTTGAACTTAATAATTGGGTCAACCCAAATTAAATAAGCCAGCCTTAATTGATTCAAATATTGACCTTATAACATACTTTATTGAAGGAACTAAGGTTTCAGTCCATGAAGAGTTTGACAGGCCTAAAGCACTAAAAACTAACTTTGCGTATGTCTGCATCTGTGGGCAAAATCCCATATATGGGCTCTTAAATCAAACCTTTTTGACAGCAGTAATTTTGCATGCGCTTATTTGTTTTCTAAATTAAATTTCACTTACGTTTAATTGGATTACTAACCTTTACTTTGCCTTCATCAGCACGAGTGTACTTTTGAAGAGTCAGTGCATCTTCATCTTTCCTGGCTGATTCCTCCAGCCAGGCTTCCAAGGCTTTCTGATCCCAGTTCATCTGGCTCTTTAAATCCTCCAGACGTTGTGTGTTCCTAAAAATGTTGTTCTAATAAGGAGAAGAAATAGTTTAAGTCAAGCCACTTTAGGACTAGTTGTACTATGTCAACTTATAAAATCTTGGTCTGCTCCAACAGGCTGGCCAAATCATGAAGAAGAAACTTGTAGGTTCAAAATTGTAGTTAATGGAGTTTCTTAACGTTTTCCCAAACAATATAATCCTCGGAAAAATTTATTATACTTTTTTCGTCAGAAAATTTAACACTGGTATTTTTATTGTAGGAGGTTAGGCCCTCTCCCAGTCACAAAATGATAAAAATTCTAACAGTTGATTACTTGTTTCCACCACAACAACAATCTTGCTAAAACCCATAATTGAATGATGATAGCTATCACATTTGCCCACCAAAACGGTGCTGGTTCATGCGTGAACATTGCTTAGTATTGAGACAATCTCATCCTTTTAGTTATCCTTGTCTAATATTGTAGGACACAACCACTCCAAAATATAGGAAGAACTTAAGACATCAAGCCATGAAAGATGGATACCCTCTTAAAACCTACCACTTTCTATTACTTAGATTTGTGATGGAATTTGTTTGATCAATAACAAGAACAAGTTATGCATCAAAATAAATTTCTCACCTCTTGGATGTTACGTTTCTCAGTTAAATCATTTATTTCATTATTCACTCTCCTAATTTCATTATTGAGCCTTCCCTCTTCTCGTTGAGCTAAATAGAAAACAAAAGTGGATCAGTGTTACCATAATCAGAATAGACTATAATTAAGCAGTTCCCTTGAGCGTAAAAAAACATATCACATCTTACATGTACATACCAATTTGCTTCATGTGGTTTTCAGTCTCTATTTCTCTCTTTCTTGCATTCAGCAAATCCTGTGCATAAAAATAAGTAAACAAATATACTAAAAAAAACTCATCACCTCTCAGTCTTACTTTTTTTCGGCTTATTACTGAAAGTCAAGTGATTATTCATTTCTTTTATCATTTGTTAGCTTGGCAAGTGCAGTGAGCTTTGTTTACCTGTGTATGTTGTAGTTCTTGCTGTACATTTCTCAGGTGCTCACTCATAGCATAGATTCTATCAGAGTGTTCATCCTGTTGTTCTTTATAGGACGTTATATTCTTCTGCGTGTCAGTTATCTTGGAGAGAAAAATTTTGGTTAGACTTTACCTAAAAACAAAATATCATTTTGGATGACAGAACACTGTCAGCCAAAATTCTAAGATTACCTTGTTGTTTAGAAGAGATTCTAACCACAGTGTTTTGACAAGGAAATTGGTGAGTAGCATAAACTTGTTACCACTAAAAAACATCTGTAAAATTTTGTGTCTTTAGGGATGCATATCAGTCAGATTGTTAGTCTTAGGCCTGGTTCACTTATGTGCCGAACCTTACTGATGAATTACGTACGGCAAAAGAGCGGCGTCTGAATCAATTTGGTACGGCAGTTTTAGTTTGGTGCGGCAAAAGCGTTAAGTTTGACAGAGTCTGTCAAACTTTTGTCGACCTTAACTTAGGTTCGACACACGGTACGCCGTCTGAATCAGATGTTGCGCCAGTGTCGCTCCAAAGTCGAACTTATTCAGTTAGGTTCGGCACATGAAAAGTACGGCGTCTGAACTAAGCCTTACACAAGTCAGTCATCAAACTTTTGAGTTGAGAAGACGGATTTTCATTAAGTGATAACATGTTCAAACCCGTTTTTTTGAACAAGCCCATAGTTTGTTGGAAAACCTCACTTTGTGACTCAAAAAATCTGGACAAACTCCTCAGTTCCAGACCTGCCAACTCATATACATTACGCATGCATGTTACACCTGAGGATCGAGACCATTGATCAAATATATACAGAGCAATTTCACATGCACAACTTACAATATTATTCTAGATTATTTGTTAAGTAACCATTAACAAGGAATATGAATTCAATTTCCACCAAATAGTCTCGTGAAAGGCTTGATCTTGGCAAGATTTCACAATCCCTTCCCTCGGTAATCATGCCAAGGTATGTGATCTTGGCAAGATGGTATGAATATAGGATAGCTGCAAGATGATATATGTAAATGCTACATGCAGCAAACTTCCAAGGGGGGAATGGGCTCACTAGGACTGATTGAGCAATACAGAGTTTATAAACCTATATAGCAATAGCCCTGCAATCTCCTTGTGGCATAGGGAGAAAACATCTAGTATAAAGAGAGTGCGCGTGGAAAAATCCCTGCAGAAGGTATAGGATTGTGCAGAAATCTTGCTTTTAATTTAAAATTCTAAATTTATGAACATGTGGTAAATTATGTTAAATAGCACATTTCTGTCATTTTGAAAATACGAACGTGTATTGTACGTATCTATTTTGTTTTCCTGAACAAACCCTTACCTCACTTTCCAGCTGTTTATTCTCCAGATTTGCTACTGGCATGGCAATGCCTTCATCGAAGTTCATCTCACTGACAATTTCCTCCATTTTGAACGTGAAAAGAACAAAGTTAACTTAAAGCTATATGGCTTATAAAACGCAAGAATTTGCTTAAAGGACACAAAATGAATTGATGTTTGCCCTAAACAGTCTTCTCGGTATCTTAAAGATTAAATTTTGTGATTAGTAAAAATTCTATAAATCCTGTCAGAGTTGTTGTGGAAACGGCGAAAACGGCACAACAACCTTCGAGCGCCAGCGATGCTGAAAAAGAACTCTCAGCGGAAACGCTATAAATGTCCCGGATATCAAAAACACGCATGATCTTGGAAGTGTACCGCTGAAACGAGGAGCCTTAATTAATCACTTGTGTTGGAGACGCCTTTGAACTTTATTGCAGTACAATCGTAGAAGATGAGAAAGAAAACCAAAAATACAAAGCGTACAGCTAAGTCGAGCTCATTGGAAGAAGGACAGATGGAAAATGACGCTGAGCCGCTGGTCTTGGATGGCAGTGTTCATGATAAGGCGGACGAAATGGCTGATGTGAAAGCACGTGGTGATTTGGAACTTGAAGACAAAGACATCAAGGATGACTCAGACAGCGTCATTGCGGTGATAGATAAGAAGCCGGCTAGAAGGAGCAACGTAACAGGTGATGGAGATGATGATAACGATGATGCTCCAGAAGACGTTTCATGGAAGGCTAGCAGAGAAAGTGCGATTCAAGAACTGAAAAAAGAGAAGGAGAGGCTTCAACAGAGTAAACAAAAAGAAAAACTGGCGAGAATCGAGAGAAATGAAAAGCTTCTAGAACAGAAAGAAAGAAAAAGAGCGAGGGAGTACTCTAGACTGCCTACAGAAGTGCTCCAACATATTGCCAAGCAGCAAGAATCTCAAGCAAAGAAGGATGTGGTACAGTCAACTGTTGCTACAGGAAATCATGTGACATTTGACAGTGATGATGAACAAGAAGAAGAAACGGAAATATATGACGAGGCACCACCAGTTAAGGTTCTTGTGTTACCCAAAGAAACAGAGAAGCCCAAGAAAATTCAAGAATCAGCAAAATTGTTTTTGCGAGAACAGTTGTTTGGAAATAGAATTCAACGTATCTCAGCTGTAAGGGACTTAGACCGTAGGAAAACAGGCTTTGTGTTTAATCCTGCCACAAACTTTGCCAGAAAGTCAAAGAAGTTTAAAAGAAAAGGTAGGAAGGGTCAGAAAACTGTTTAAGTACAATAAGTACAGTTCATTGGAAACATAGTCTGCTATACAGCCGTTTTTAGTGTCGTCACGCAACGCTCCTCCCCACTAACGGCTGCTGAAAACCGAACTACATTCCTTTCCCGTGATTAGCCAATTATAATTCAGCTCCCATTTTCTGGAAAGTGTTCGCACCACCTTTGCGGTACTGTGACTCCTCCAATCACAGCTTTGCTTTTATCGTTGCCCCATGTGTGAATAACAGAATTATCAAAATCGTTGCGTGAAAACAAGCAATTAACTACAGTGTTGTCGTAGAAAGGTCCTATTCAAAATTTAGGAGATAAGCAGCAACAGCAAGAAAGTCGAGCAAATTGCGATTCACAACATGGATGTGCTCATAAAGTTGCCAGGTATAGTTTCGGTAAATCGCTCATCGATAATTTATAAGATTACTTTTTGACTCAGTACCCTTGAGAGTTTAGTCTTCACAGAACACAATGAGCACATCCGGTACATTAAATTCTTCACTACATATCAGCACATATGCACGTTAAATGAAGAACCAACCGATCCTGGTAAAAGTTTTCTAGGCCTATCAAACCTTCTTTTCACTTGGAACTTTCTTGACCGCTTAAAACAAAC